TGCTCCGCCCTCCCCCCAGAGACTCACCTGGGTGAGTTTCACAGCTTCGCCCTCCCCCATGTTGCTCAGGTCGGCCTCCTCCTGGAACACCTGAGTGATATTGAGAGTCTGCAGGACGTCACGCAGAGAGTAAGAGCGTTCCAACAGGAAGCGGGGAAGCTGCACCTCCAACTTCCTGTTTCGGAGCAAAACATAAACAAGAAACTAAAATAAATCACGTCAAGAACGAGGATGGAAGGAATGAAGGAGTTAGGAGGTAGGACATGAGGGTATAGGAGGTAAGGGGTAGGAGGTAAGGGGTCAGGAGGTAGGAGATAAGGGGATAGGAGATGAGGGTATAGGAGGTAAGGGGTCAGGAGGCCTCACGTCTTCTTCAGCTGTCTGATCCAGGTCTGGATAAGGTCTCCGGTCACTGCCTCCTCCACTGAAGTGATGTCCACGTCTTCATCGGGCAGGACCACCAACATGGCCGCCCCGCCGGCCATCGGCAGCTTCAGGACGCCGGCCTTCAGCCCGAGGTCGTAGGCCAGGAAGAACTTATCTGCCCGGAACATCATGGGAACCATCACCACGCGGTACTTGTTCACGTAGAACCGCTCGTCCTGGGTGAGGGACTCGTTAAAGGACGGACTGAACTTAACTGCAAAACACAAACAACTTTATTTATACAACAAGACAAACATATAAACAACACAATCCTCAATACTTTAATAAACTGGTATCAGAGGTAACTCTGAAACTGGCATCAGGGGTTAACTCTGAAACTGGCATCAGGGGTTAACTCTGAAACTGTTATCGGAGGTAACTCTGAAACTGGCATCGGGGGTTAACTCTGAAACTGTTATCGGAGGTAACTCTGAAACTGGTATCGGAGGTAACTCTGAAACTGGCATCAGGGGTTAACTCTGAAACTGGCATCAGGGGTTAACTCTGAAACTGGCATCAGGGGTTAACTCTGAAACTGGTATCGGAGGTAACTCTGAAACTGGTATCGGAGGTAACTCTGAAACTGGTATCGGAGGTAACTCTGAAACTGGCATCGGAGGTAACTCTGAAACTGGTATCGGAGGTAACTCTGAAACTGGCATCAGGGGTTAACTCTGAAACTGGCATCAGGGGTTAACTCTGAAACTGGCATCAGGGGTTAACTCTGAAACTGGCATCAGGGGTTAACTCTGAAACTGGTATCGGAGGTAACTCTGAAACTGGCATCAGGGGTTAACTCTGAAACTGGCATCAGGGGTTAACTCTGAAACTGGTATCGGAGGTAACTCTGAAACTGGCATCAGGGGTTAACTCTGAAACTGGCATCGGAGGTAACTCTGAAACTGGTATCGGAGGTAACTCTGAAACTGGCATCAGGGGTTAACTCTGAAACTGGCATCAGGGGTTAACTCTGAAACTGGCATCAGGGGTTAACTCTGAAACTGGCATCAGGGGTTAACTCTGAAACTGGTATCGGAGGTAACTCTGAAACTGGCATCAGGGGTTAACTCTGAAACTGGCATCGGAGGTAACTCTGAAACTGGTATCGGAGGTAACTCTGAAACTGGCATCAGGGGTTAACTCTGAAACTGGCATCAGGGGTTAACTCTGAAACTGGCATCAGGGGTTAACTCTGAAACTGGTATCGGAGGTAACTCTGAAACTGGCATCAGGGGTTAACTCTGAAACTGGCATCAGGGGTTAACTCTGAAACTGGCATCAGGGGTTAACTCTGAAACTGGTATCGGAGGTAACTCTGAAACTGGTATCGGAGGTAACTCTGAAACTGGTATCGGAGGTAACTCTGAAACTGGTATCGGAGGTAACTCTGAAACTGGCATCAGGGGTTAACTCTGAAACTGGTATCAGGGGTTAACTCTGAAACTGTTATCGGAGGTAACTCTGAAACTGGCATCGGGGGTTAACTCTGAAACTGTTATCGGAGGTAACTCTGAAACTGGCATCGGGGGTTAACTCTGAAACTGTTATCGGAGGTAACTCTGAAACTGGCATCGGGGGTTAACTCTGAAACTGTTATCGGAGGTAACTCTGAAACTGGCATCGGGGGTTAACTCTGAAACTGTTATCGGAGGTAACTCTGAAACTGGCATCAGGGGGTAACTCTGAAACTGGTATCGGAGGTAACTCTGAAACTGGCATCAGGGGTTAACTCTGAAACTGGTATCAGGGGTTTACTCTGAAACT